AGACTATTTAACAAGTCGACCACAGCATGTCTCACTAAAGAGCTGCCGCTCAGATAACATCCTGAGCAGCACAGGGGCTCCGCAGGGGACTGTCCTATCACCCTTCCTCTTCACCCTGTACACATCTGACTTAAGGTACAAGTCTCAGTCATGTCATCTGCAGAAATTCTCAGATGACTCTGCCATTGTGGGCTGAATCAGGGATGGACAGGAGGAGCACAGGATTGTGGTGGAGAGCTTTGTCGAGTGGTGTGAGCTAAACCACCTACAACTTAACATCACAAAGAAAAAAAGAACTGATTATGGACTTTAGGAAGCAGGCTCCTCCTAACCCTGTCACCATCAGAGGGGCTGATGTGGAGATCGTTGAGGACTACCGGTACCTGGGGGTACACTTGGCCTGTAAACTGGACTGGACCAAGCACGCCAATGCTATCTTCAAAAAAAGGGGCAGAGTTGGCTTTTCCTACTGAGGCGACTCAGGTCCTTCAATGTTGGTAGGAAAATGCTGACCATGTTCTATCACTCGGTGTTGGAAAGCGTCGTGTTCTTTGCAGCAGTGTGCTGGGGAAGTGGGGTGAAGACAGCTGATGCCAACAGGCTGAACAAACTGATTAAAAAGGCTGGTTCTGTCCTGGGTGTCAGACTTGAGAACCTGGATGTGTCTGAGAGGAGAATGCTTAAAAAAAAAAAAAGCTTTCTATCATGGACAACCCCTGTCACCCCATGCACACCCTCATGATGGACCATCGGAGCAAACGCAGCAAAAGACTCATTGCCCCGAAATGCAGAACTGACTGCCACAGTAAATCCTTTGTACCGGTGGCCAGTGTTGGTCAAGTTACTTGAAAAAAGTAATCAGTAACTGATTACTGATTACTTCCCCCAAAAAGTAATCCCGTTACTTTACTGATTACTTATTTTCAAAAGTAATTAATTACTTAGTTACTTAGTTACTTTTTAAAAACACAATTTACAACCTGAATAGGTGAAAAAGCGATAGATCTTTCAGCCCAGTTCTACTTTTTCTGCATAATCCATCATACAAAATGTAATCAAACGGAAAGGTCCCCTTTTAAAACTTGTTTTATTAGTTTTAATCTTTTAACTTTATGCATCAAGCAAAAATTTGATTATATGCAACATTCTCTGACTGGAAGAAATTTGTTTAATATTTAAACCTATTTTCTGCACATTCCAGCACATAAAATAAAATATGTTTTGTGTTTACACTCACTCTTTCAAATAGATGCCAGTAAAACACAGCAGAAAATAAATAACATCAAAGACTAGCGGTCCTGTTGCTCTATTTTCACCTGTAAAGCAGGAGTGGCATAGGCGGAGGTTTACCCTGGTGCAGGTGTGCCGCAGCGGTCAGTGGAAGAATCCGCTAGTTTCTCTGTGAGTTTCCCATTATGTCATAGCACACTCGGTGCTTGCTTGGAAGTTTAGGGGTTTTTCTTCGGTGTAAAAAGAAGTTTTCTTCCCACGCACAATGGACGCTAATGTTTTTGTCACTTTTTATGGAATCAAACTCAAAGTAAGGTCAGTACTTCCACGCTTTAAACACGGCATGTTCATACTCTCTCCCGCACTCATATGATCCATTGTTGATCTGCACACAGCTGTTGTCACCAATGTCATGAGACGTTCTCGCAAAAAAAAATCACGGTTTTAGTAACGCAGCGTTCCTACGGGAAAGTAACGGTAATCTAATTACCGTTTTTGCAATAGTAATCCCTTACTTTACTCGTTACTTGAAAAAAGTAATCGGATTACAGTAACGCATTACAAGTAACGCATTACAAGTAACGCGTTACTGCCCATCTCTGCCGGTGGCAATAAGACTGTATAACTCTTCCTCACTCTGTAGGTGATTTTCCTGAGACTATTACCAGCGTTATTGTGTTACCTTTCAGACCGTGCAATATTACCCAACAGTACCTTATTGAATATTTGTTTCATCTCCCCATCATACGCTGCTACTCACTTTATTCTATTGCACAATACTGCCACTTTCTAGAATCGCCTGCACTGATAGTTATTTATTCTCCAGGTTATAGTTATATATATTACTTCGTTAGAGTTATTTGATACTATGTCTTGCACTATCCTACTGTACCGGTATATTACTGTATACTACTATTCTTATTGTACATATTATATATCTTATTCATCTGTTCCTCTGTCTCTCCTGCTGCTTTGAGCATGTACATGACAAAAGAATTTCCCTCGGGATAAATAAAGTGATTCTTATTATTATTCTTATTAAAGAGTCATGGTGACATGAGCTGTTCTACATTTAGAATACTTTACTGTTCTTTTCGGTTGCACATTTATGCAAATTTAATGAGGAAGGATGCATTAAAAAAAAAAAATTAAGTGCACTGAGGGTGACACCCCTGTGGTTTCTCTACAGCAACCCCAGGGAGATGGCTTACTGGTAAGATGTCATGAAGACTGATGCATCTTGTACAGGATGTCTTCATTGAGCCATGCTCTCTCTCTCTCTCTCTCTCTCTCTCTCTTTCTTTCTTTCTTTCTTTCTTTCTTTCTTTCTTTCTTTCTTTCTTTCTTTCTTTCTTTACTGAAAGTGAGCAGAACTAGGTGCCTAGCCTTAATTGTTGGATATAGTGATTTTGACTATATTAATATTGTACACTAAATGCTAAATCTAATAAAATCTACTTGTGTGGGTTTATCTCAGAATCTGTTACAATGACCTAAACATGCAGACCACAGGCTTTTCAAGGTTTACAGGAAAGCACCAATGAAACCCACAAGGATGTGGAACAGCTTCACCACTGAATTAATTATCTAATTTTACACAGTAAGCTTAGTTTACCCTTAGTAATACCCAAGGAATACATTTGTTCCAACACACTCAGGAAAGACGGCAACTTAATGGCACTTGAAACATGAAGCAACATCAACTGTTTAACTAGTTTAACAATACATTGTAATGTAGTGGGATGTCCAGTAGGTGGCACTAATACATTCAAAATGGGTTCTAGCAGCCAATGAATTAAAGAAGGACGTACTCAATCATTACGTCATTAAATTGACTTAAGAGGTTTCAGCTTTACATTTTTGAGTTAAAGCCAAAGAATAAAAACACGGAGTCCTTTCGAAGCTGATATCGCCGCACTTCACTTGGCAAGTATTATTTAAGTATTGCAAAAAGACATGTTTCCCCCCATTTCTTCAGTTTAAATACACGTGCAAGAATGCCAGTGAAGAACAAAAGAAAAAATTGCAGGCCTAAAAAAAACAATCTACGTCTGATGAAGAGTAGTTATGTGTTCTTTTCTCTTCTTTATATAT